AATCAAATTCATTTAGTTTACATAAAATATTTTAGATCTTTTGAATCTTATGACTACAGTTAAATTATAATAGTAAAATCTTAACAAGTATGATATGTTTCTTTTTAGAACTCGCATTTTCTATGGATTCAACATAGAGGAGGTGTCCTTCAAGGGCCGGGTAACCACTTATAATTTTTTTAGTTGAATTTTATACATTAAATATTTTATGGAATAATAATCAAATTCATTAATTTCATGTAATAGATCAGTTTCTAAACAAAAGATAGCTAGTTTATATCTATTATTTATTGAGAACTCTAAAGCATTAGTTATGAAATACTGCTGAGATATACTAAAAAAATTAATTGTAGTAGAAATAATATTAACCAAAAGGAGGTTCCTTTGAATAAATCAATTTGTTTTAAAAATGGAAGGTTAAATAAATCTGCTATAAATTACGAATTTGTTTTTCAGAGAATACCGATATATCATATGCATTTCTCTTATTTTGTGCAGTTGTCCCAACAAAGAATAAATTGGATGCATATTTAATCTCGATATCAAAAAGTTGTCTAGTTTGTTTCTTATGTTGCTATCAAAAAAGTGATTATAATTTAGAAAATGAATAAGAAAATACAATAGAAGTAAAATAAAAATTAAATATATTACGGTTCTACAGTAATTCATTTTCATTTGTATGTTCATTTTATCTTTTTAAATTTATTTTTCTTCCAATATAGGATATACGGACGAAGCCATTTGAATGTGGAGACAAATGGACGTAAAAATATATATATATATATATATATATAAATCAATAAATAAAATAAATAAGTTATTTAGACTTATTATAATATGTAAATTTTAATGTCAAAAATATTCATTCAAAAAACTTCACCATCGCGATTTGAATTAATTAATGAAATATTACATGTACACTTGAATGCAACTAATACGGTTATAGATGTGTATTGTCGTGTTTCGATAAAGTGTGATAATTATTACAAGTTGTAAAAACTAACAAGTTATATATATTGATATAAAAGGTACCTACTGCCAAAACGATAAAATTCGATAAGGTTTGATATTATGATACAATACCATTAGTTATATTATGAACATAAAATATCAATGGTTTTATAGCTTAAGTGGGCCTCACACGATCAGTAATACTGACAGTAGAAATATTGACAGTATTTACATTACTGACAGTGTACTAGATGTTGCGCCGCGTCCGCTCCTACGAGGACGCGGCGGTTGTCGGACGTGACTCCCGGGGTGTTGGAATAAGGTTACCCTTGTTCAACAATAATAACACATAACACTAAGATTTATAATTGCCAAAACGTACATATATTATGCTGAAAAATAATTAGGCGCCTTTATACAAAACAAAATAACTACATAAACTTCCGCCGCAGATGCGCTAATCGAAATAAATAATAATAATAAGAATAATAAAAAATCATTCGCATCAGCGCGACATTGATCTACCTTGTGGTAACCCCAGACCGTGCGGTTTCACCCACGCGACCGTGTTAATACACGTGCGACGGACCGGAGACTACCTGAAGTCTTCGGAGTACACGATGAAGACTCTGGCTCGAGAAAAGGCCCAGATGACTGCCAATCCGTGGACCACGTCCGCGATGCAGTTCGACGATAGCTCCGCAGCAACCGGTCGCAGTACACAAAGTCGACAACCAATAAAAGACCGACGACACGGCAAAATGATACAAATAAAACAAAGCCTCCGGGCGTGACGAAACGGCACTCAGTTCAAAAGAAAACGGCAGTCACAGCAACTCCCAAGAACACGTCGTGTCATCGGCGACGCATACGAGCGAAGCGAAATCCACATATTTGGTGCGATGGAAAACACAGCGAGCGAAAAACCCACCACCCAAGCGGCCGTTGACCGAACCGGTCTTCTTGTGACTGGCCGGTGGGAGAGGGCGTGCCACGAAACTTCGAGAAGCTTATGGCACAAATGACATGCGTTTGGCGCGTATTTTCAAACTACTGGTGAGCCTGAACAGTACTCCTTAAACGGTCAATACAAATTATAGTCAATACTCAGTATTTTTTACTTTCACAGTAGTTCAGATCAATTGTTGATAGTGTAAATTAATTCTTTTAGAGTCGTTAATTTTTTTAAACTCTTATCTAAAGTTGCTTCTTAATGTATTAATTTTTTTTTTACATCTTCAATAATTGAATAAATAATTAATAAAAATAATAATTCTACAATTATTGTAGAGTTGTTTTTCAAAAGTTTATAATAAACTAAAAGTTTTTTATAGGCAGAATTTTTTTTATCTCTATTGGAGTACTCTTTACAACGAACATTCCACAATTCGGATAATTGTTTGTACTCCGAAATAAAATCACGCAAAATGGCCAGATCGCGGAATTCGCGACTTGTGGATCCACTTCCGTCATCCCTCGCTGGGATGCCAATACTGTTGAATTGTCAATATCGACCTCACACTATCAATATAATCATCAGTAAATAAATTCTGACGACTCGATATCCAATTTTTCCATCAGTCATCAGTATGGTTTTTCCATACTGACAGTACATCAGTACTCACATTAGCTAACTAAATAACCCCTAACTAAATAAAATTTGCAAATTTCTAATGTTCAGCAAAACGCAGAAACTCATAATTAACTTAAAAATGCATGGTGTGATATAATTAACTAATACAGTCGAACATAAATTAGTATATTAAGCTTTACAATAATAATTAGTATAATATTTACTTTCAATGATATGTGATGTTGTAGTAAGATATAATCCTGAGTGAGTAAATGAAAGTAAATGTTTAACTGTAAACATTATAGCTGTTACAAAAATGCATTAGTGCAACTAAAACACTAATACAAAATTATAATGATTTAAAACTAAATCATATGATATAAAAAATAATATTAGGATTGTAATTTTTTTTCTGCTTATTTATATTTTAGCCACATTTAAGATTTTATCTTCATCTTGACTATCCATAAAAAAGGCATATTTCTTTATCTACGAGTATAGATCTGTATAATGTAATGTTATAATCACGATAATGCATTTTATTTTTTCCCTTAAATTACACAGTTCAATCATTAACTAATTATAGATATACTTGTTATTACAAACCAATCTGTGTTATAAAAATAAGAGATATAAGATATTTTTGTTTGAAAAAAATTCAATCAAATTCAGTTGTTTGTTTGAAATTAACATTAAATACATTGGCACATTTGCCTAGCAATAAAAACGATGTATTTAAGAAATTAATATTTTGTAAACTACTTATTTACAATTGCATGATAATACAACAATACGTGTACTTACCTTATTTGTACGTGTGCATTGCATAATAATATTACCAAAAACAATTGTTAAATAATGAAAAAATAATGCTATAGTATTATTATTATTATTATGCATTTTAATATATCATTATATAAATAATATTTAAATAATATTACTGGTATATTCAACGTGGTACGGTCGTTGGCATTATATGTGTATTTTTTAGTTTAATTTAAAGCTAAATTAACACGAAAACGAAAGTAAGTTAAATTTTTAAACGTATTTTCTACTAAATTCACGACTAAATGATTCGATTCGATTAAAACCAAAAAGCGGTTTATTTGATTTTAACATATGCGAAAAGCACTGCCATGAAGATTGAAAGTAGAAATACCATTCAGTACAATATGATGTCCTAGTTGTTTAAATGGTTGAATTTAGCCATAGGACAATGACCTAATTGTTAAAAATGACCAAAAGTAGACGGATTTTCAACTTTAATCGAATTAAATCATTGATCATGCGATTAAGTCGAAAATTGGTTTACAAATTAAATTTTCTTTCAATTTTGTCACACGGCAACAGTCATTTGACCGCGGTCGACCTGTTTAGACGCAGCTTTAGGTTAAACCAAAATGTGTGCATTTTGAAAAACAATCAATATATTTTTCTTATTCACAGATACTGGCGCCTTGAAACGTACTTCGGTTCTTGGGTGGATGGCCATTTGGGAACACTACGTGCCATTGGCTTCTTTGTTTTTTTTTAAACTGTCCTTAGCATGAAATAAGAAAAGGAAATAAGCTTATGAAACAAAGCTTATAATAGTTATTTTACCTAGTGCATTAAGAAGTCGAATGATAAAAAAAAAAAATCGAACATATTAGTACATCGAAATAGTATAGGTATTTTTGTTGCATAGGCAATTTCGTATTATTTGTTGAACTTATAATATAATTTTCAAATCAATCGCGTTGTATGATAATTACATTATACGTTCAACAAATAATAACACGAGATTACCTATGCCTTCAAAATACCTAACCCTATACTATTTCGTTGTATTTATATGTTCAATTTAATTTTACATCATCCAACTTCTTAATGCTTTAGGTAAAATAACTATTGTAAGCTTTGTTTCCATAAGCTTCTTTCCTTTTCCGATATGATCACCGCTGCCATCAACACAACTTTTTGACATCTAGCTTATAATAGTCCACGTAACACTTTTCGCCGATTTTCAATTCTACTTTCATCCTGTAGACCGCCGAATTTCTAGTGTTCCGCAGCCATAGCACTTCAGTCTTTAACTGTGGACCGCGGTTTTCTGCCTTTTGTTTTTCAGTGTCTGCAGTAACACCGAGTATTTGGCGTCTATGGTCAAGAGTGGCTTGGGTACTGATGTTTTGGTCCACCACTATACCGCCGGACGGTGCGTACACTAACTGACTTTTAGCCACCTCAAAACACCTTTTGTGCATGACACAATTGCACGCTGTCAAACGGAATATTCAAGTTTTAGATAGAATACAGTACTTTTACTTAATCCCGCGAGTACCCCAAAAATAGAATGAGGATTTTGATGATAGAATTGTAATTTTTAGAAACTTTTGTTTTTGTACCAAATCTTATCTCTAGTCATATATGTCTACCTTACCGATGCATTCAACCATTTTCAAAATTCTAAAAAGACATCTCTGATCACACAGCGAACATTTCTTCTTCGTATACATCATTTTCTTAACTTTCAGGTGGCCGACCATATCACAAATACAAATTGCTTCCATGTTGTTCATTGTTTTTTAATTTATCTTCCACAACAAATTAAATATAAAAACAATAAAATATACTCTTGGTATATTTGAAACGAATAAATTACAAAACAAATTCGTAATACGGAAGACAAAATTAACGAAATCGACGGAAAATGTAAGAATAATTCTACTATCGAGGTATCAACAACTGTCTCCAGTGGTAACTAAGAAAAACGTTAATTGATTTTTCGAGATTGCCTATGACAACTATTAAGTAATATTATTTTTATAAAACATCAAAATCACATGATTTGGATTCGCGCGGGATTTTAAAATACACTGTTCGTTTTATGTCGAAATAAAAAATAAATAAAAATTACTTTTTTAATTTTACATAATAATTTATATATATAATTTATTATTTATTTATTATTTATATAATAATAATATATAGTATTTTCTGATGCATTAATATATTTTTCTTTATTGCAATTCTCTCTTTAATCATTTAATAGAAGTAAAATATTTTCAAACAGTTTTGACATATATGTAAAATAAATCATAAGATGTATATGAATTCAGTAGTATAATGATTATAATAAAAAGAACATAATATTACAAAGTGTATTTTTGCTGTAAGAATGATACTGTAGAATGATACATAATACTGTCAGTATCAAAAATATTGTCAGTGATATTGATCGTGTGAGGGCCGCTTTATAAATATACCTTTATATATTTTTTTTTTTTTGACGTCCAAATGGCTATGTCCATTTGTCCCTATTCGCCAATCAAGGCAAGTTAGTGAACGAAGTATAACTTAATTCCGAAATCATAGAAATAATTGTTTTTAGAGACGTACTTTTTTTTGACGTAGTCAAATTTTCGTATTCATTGTTATTAGTTTTGTAAAAATTTATTAGAAAGTAAATTAAACATAACGAAAATTAATATAACGCAGAGGTATTGTCTTATTGTTTAAATTTCCCTGCCGTTTAATTATAAATATATGTATTATACTCGTAGAATTAACAATATGATATATATATGTGATATACATACGTATACTTTATATTATTTATAGTCCGATACACGTAATTCACACGTTATTTGCTTTAACTTGATGGACAGTAAAATGGGATGAATGAAAACGTATACACATATGTTTTATATACATGGACCACTAGCCTAGTGGTTAATAAAATATTTACCGTCAATTGACCGTGGGGGTGGAGGAGGAGACGAAGTTGGTACAGATAAAGACATGATAGAGCTCTGAGACACAAAATATTCTTCACTGCCACTCATTATATTATTAAGTTTAGGTAGAGTACAATGTAATATAATATGTATTATACAAGATCAAACCAAAAATTACGAAATGCAATGAACACGGAATAATAAAGCCAACTAAATAGGTACCTACTCATAATATTTTATTGTACGTTTACCGAATTAAAGTAGATATGAGGTACATAATGAAGTTATATCTATAGAAAAATACCTTATAACATGCATAAGATAAGGTATATGAAATTAATAGACCTTAATATCGTTGATATTTTGGAAATTCATACTATTTTAAGTAATATCTTATAAAAAAAATCAGTTTTGCGATAAATTTGGCGATAATGATTAACGATTACAAATATGTAATCATGATTACTGATTACTTTGAGAGATGATTAAACGATTAATGATTAATGTAATTTAATAAAGTAATCGTAATCGATTACGTAATTTAATCGTGAATTAATCGATTACGCCCAACACTGTTCGCGGGTCGTAGTTTGGAAATCCCTGCCATAAACCATGACCGTCGTCGTGAAAGATAATAGAATTTTTACCGTCACAACTGGAATTTGTATGTGCCATGTGGATTATAATTAATTATTGTGCTATGCTATTAATATATTTTATTTGTCAACAATTACTTATTAGTTATCAGAATTATCAACTTTTTGGTAACGGATACATTTTTTTTCCGTAATATAAAATTTATTTTCGTTTTTGATTTTGTTGTAATATTTTTTTTAATTTCGTTATTATATTTTTTTTATTTTCGTTTTATTAATTTATTTCGTTATTATAGTTTTTTTGTTTTCGTTTTTTTAATTGTTTTTGTTTTTCATTTTTTTTTCGTTCAATACTTAACGTTTTTTAAAAATGTTTTCGATCTCCGATAAAAATTAAGAGAATGTAATGGTTTGCAGGTATGTAAGGAGAGCTGAAGATAATCAGTGCTCGAATTGGGAAAAATAAGTAGAGGGGCTCAGTTTAACGATTTAAAAATTACGTTCCGCGTGCGCAATTATTTAAAACCAGTGTTCGAAATGGAAAATTTTCTGAACTGGAACTCTCATTTTAGTACATACCATAGAATTAGGAACTTCAACCCACCAAAATTATAATTTCACCTTCTTGAAATACTAAGCTTTTTTTATTACATAAGTTGTACCTACTATTTAATACTGTTTTGGTTAAAATTATATTTTGGCAAATCATTTTTTTTCATCTATGATGCTATGTGGAGTGCTAAATCCACAGACGCTTTATCAGAGTGTAAAATATTTCCCAAATTAATACCACTTAAAACTTGTTAATCTATTATCTATTTCATTTGGTAAATCAACAGAAGGCCTTTGAGTTTTTACAATTTTATAAATAATTCTAAAAACTAGAACAAGGTTTGGAAAATCGAAGAGTTATGTCAACAACAGATAATCTAAAATTTGTTATATTTTTACAAATCAAACAACCTAATGCTTTATTTTTAACTTTTAAAATTCACATACATATTGTGTAAATAAAGCTAAAATGCACAATCGGTGGACGACGATTATCGTATAGATAAGCAATAAATTTACTTATGCGTCGCGGACTTTAGACGTTTATTAAATATCTTACAATGAACAATTCTGCAAAATGTTTAAATTTTACCAAAATATGGTAGGTACACTAAACATTTGTTTGAACCGGAACGATAAACGTATTTTTTTTACGAACCGGAACCAGTGGCGTATTTGAGAGGGGAGGGCGATGGAGGCAATCGCCCCCCCCCCCCGAGAATTTTTGACCAAGACAATTTTTATATAAATAATGGGTATTTTATTAAGAAACACAAATTATGATTTATTTTATAGTCTTTACTAGCAGACCCGGCGAACTCCGTTTCGCCACCAGATTCGTTTTATGTAACATTTCGTTTGGTGATTAAAAGATAAAGAAAAAAATTTTTTTTGTTATATATTTGAAAAGGAAAATATTTATTTCATTTCACAACAGTAATAAATTCATTTCAATTACCTACTAAAATGAAGTGTTATTTGTTTCATTGTAGTGCTCTTTGGTAAACCACATTTTTTGTTTTTTGGTCTGACGTTAACACAAACAAAGCGGATGGTTTCCCAACTCGTGAACACGCAACGTATAACTGTCCATGTGAAAAACAATGATTTTCCAAATTTATCCCGCAAACACTAAGCGATTGGCCTTGCGACTTATTAATTGTCATTGCGAACGCAAGGCGAACTGGGAATTGCAATCGTTTGAAGTCAAACGGAAGATCAGTCGGAATCATTGGTATTCGAGGAATACATACATTTTCACCTGCGTACTTTCCGTTAATAATGGTTGCCTCAATTAAATTCGGCATAAGTCTCTTTACCGAAAGTCGAGTACCGTTGCAAAGTCGCGGTGGATTCAAATTACGCAGTATCAAATAACTGTACCAACTTTCAGTTGCAAGTTATGTGGTGGAAATCCTGGTATCTCCAGAGAGTTCAAAAACTCCGTTGGATAATTTACTACATCATCGGGATTTGTTATTGAATCAACGGATTTGTATGTCACCAAATCGCCAGCAATTTTTGATTGAATGGTGAAATTCAGTGCGTGGACATCATTATTCTTTGCTGCAAGAATTGCTCGTTGACTTAACCAAGCATAATTCTTATAATTCTCACTAATGTTTGGGAAAACATTTTCAATAAGAACTAATTGAGTGTCTACAAATCGGCAAAAGTCGTTGGTAAGAGTAATTAATCCAGATGTCGCATCAACTGGGACTTTTCCATTTCCAAGATCTAACAATTGTTTGGAAAATTGTGCAGCACTTTGATCATTTTGAAGTTGAACTCTCATATTAGTGGTTAGCGATAATGTTTTTACGTTATTCCATAAAGGTGATGCCTTTAGGCAAGCATTCAATTCATCTGCAGGCGTTCCACGGGGAACTACTGGCAACGTCTGCCTGAAATCGCCTGCCAACAATATCATCAAGCCGCCAAAGATGTTGTTATTTCTCCGAAGATCCTTCAGTGTGAAGTTAAGTGCTTCAAGTGATTTCTTATGTGCCATTGTGCACTCATCCCAAACAATGAGCTTGCATTGCATTAACAATTTTCCCATTGCACTGGATCGGGAAATATTGCACGTTGGAGTATCAATTGTGTTTAAATTGAGTGGCAACTTAAGCGCAGAATGTGCAGTACGACCGCCATCTAGAAGAGTCGCCGCAATTCCAGATGATGCTAACGCCAAAGCTATGTCACATCTTGATCGAATAGTGGCCAAAATCAATGAAATGACAAATGTTTTCCCTGTTCCTCCAGGTGCATCCAGGAAGAATAGACCACCAGTATTATTGTCCACCGCTTGCATTAATGTTTTGTATACTTGTTTTTGCTGTTCATTCAGCAACGGAACATTATTTTTAACGAATTCCTGCAATGTATCAACATTGTATTGCAGCTCTCGATTTAATTCTTGGTTGAATGCATCGTGCATCGATCGATTTGGCGCAATCATTCCTACTTCAATCAGTAGCTTGTTTGCAATAGTCAAGCATTGATCCTCAATCAGAATCAATCCTTCATTGTAGATTTCATCGGTTATTTGGATGTCAGGATTATTCGTTTGAATACGCAAGCGATGCAAGATATCTTCACATATGGCGTCTTTGTATTTGTTCCATAACTGAATTGGTTGTGAAGGAAAACATGTGGTGATGATAATTGCGAACAGCGTTCGTATTTGGTACGCATTTGATGAAACAACTGAATCTGCAAGTGTTAAATCCCAATGAGAATCGTTCTCCAGCAAACCCAATAGTTGACATGCTTCTCGATATGTTTGGCATTGGTGGCCATTCACAGTTTTCAAATGCGCAAATGATTTCGGTCCACGTACATTTACTAACAGCAGTCGCAAATAAAAACATTCATCGTTTCTAGGATGAACAGTGTACATACGACCTAGTGCATCAGTTGAAAACACCTGTGGCCAGTCTGGAACTGGGGTTCCTTGTTTGCGACGTTGGAATTTCTTTGTTGATTGATTCCAAGTGTAATACTTGGGCATTTCAACGTACATCAGCGTCGCTGCGAATGGATCTGCTTCACACATTGCAAAGAAGCTAGTCAATGTTGTCGATGGTGGTCTCTCAGCTCGTTGTGCCGCATTAGCCTCAGTGAAGTAAACTCTTTGGCCATTTTCCAAATGCACTGCTAAATGTACAACTGTGGGATATCTTTCATGAATTTGAAATGACAATAATCGCCACAGTGCTTCATTAGTACTGACGTATCTGCCCATTTGGAAGTTGCTGATTTCGTCATTCACATTTTCCGACGCAATACCAAACACAGCCATGTCGCTGCCTTTTGTGACGTACTTGCACAAATATTTGATTGATTTGGCCGAATGACAACTCTCAACGTTTGCATGTGTTTCGAAAATTCGTGATAGCAGCGGGCAATATGGTACAATGAATTCATTTCCGATCTCAATCTCTTGATTTTGAACTTTAACTTTGATAGTTCGACCGTTATCTTCTTTTGAACGCCGACG